TCAAGAATTCAGGAATGTGGTTTCCAATGCAAATAAAGACTACATTGTAGAAATCCTGCTGGAGTGCATCCAAGCCCTCCCTCTGTCCTTTGAGTCATTTGGAAATAGTTAACAAACGGGTTGAACACCTGGGTTGATTACCCCTGACGGGGATTTCCAGACTCTATCCTGTAAAGTCATCTCCTCCCCTCCCAAAGCAACTCTGTTCCTCCCTCTCTGAGCTGTGCCCTAAAGATTCCCAATATTCTGATCCAAGGCTTCCTAAGTTAGAGCAGCAACTGCCACTGACACAAAAGAAACAAGGAGCCAAGCAACTTTGTGCTTTTTAAAAAAGTTTATTTTAAATTAAAAGGAACAGATGTCCAATGTTTCAAAAAGCCACACATTTGTGGATTTGGCTGACAAACCATCTAAGCTGCATTTCGTTTCTGTTCCCATCGAGTCAGCCAGCCACTTACAACTGACTCACGCTGGACCACAGTTTGGGCCTGTCTCCCAACTACAGAATTAGAATCCCAGATCTCAAATGAATCCAGGGTGTTTGGGTGGAGAGCGGGGGCCATCTAAAATAAAATTTTTCTTTTAATTTAGTAGTATCAACACCCACACAGCAAACTGTGCAAGGCTAGTAGGTCAAAGAGAATGAGCAAACAGTTGGCACCTGTCCATCCCAGCACCACACAATTCTAAAGGCAACGAGTAAGCAGCTGTCCAGAACAGGTTTTTATTATAATCTCTTTTATGGGTACTGGTTAAATATGCAAATACATGTAGGTTATTTGCTGCAATTCAAGGCCTCACCCCCAAGGCAAACGCATTACCTCAGGTGAACTCCTGGCCTTGTTGAGAAGGGCAGGAACCTAACACCCTACCAGACACAAATGACTCAATGGCTTTTAGAATTTTCAAGTACATTATGTGCTTTTCTTGTCTTAGAGAATAAAGGAACAAACATTTCAGATGCAACAGTTTTGCTTAGCATTTCATTTACCATGTTTTATGAATACCAGAGAAGCTTTGATCAATGTCAGTTACAAATGGAATGTTACTTGGCTTTCAAAATGGCTATTAAACGCCTGCTTAGGGGCGCCTGGCTGGCTCAGTCAGTGGAGCATTGAGACTCTTGATCTCGGGGTAGTGAGTTCGAGCCCCATACTGGGCGTGGAGCCTACTTAAAAAAAAAATTCCTGCTTAGGTTGTTTTAACTTTTTGTGAGCACATTAAATCACTAATATTTTATGAATAAAATAATCCAACTTTGTTTTTCTAACAAAAATGAGACTTTTAGGTCTATTGAGGAAAGGTCTTCCATGCCAACTTTTTTTTTTTAAACTGCTTTAACTATTTACACCCAGCAAACCTCACTGGATATTCTAGATGGAGCATTTCTAACCAGGTATTAAAAGCGGATATTCCTTTTTCCCTCTACCATGTAGATTTTTTTTTAGTATTGTCTTTATAATAAAAACAAATTAGGAGGGGCACCTGGGTGGCTCAGTTGTTAAAGTGTCTGCCTTCGGCTCAGGTCATGATCCCGGGGTCCTGGGATTGAGCCCCACATCAGGCTCCCTGCTCAGCGGGAGGCCTGCTTCTCCCTCTCCCACTCCCCCTGCTTGTGTTCCCTCTCTTGCTGTCTCTCTCTGTCAAATAAATAAAATCTTTAAAAAAAAAAAAATTAGGAAACGTCATTTCAAGTTGATAATGTTAGAAGAGCATTTTCAATTATTTTATAGTAAATTTTGTGTATCTGTGCTTTGTACCTTAAATTGCCTAGCTGGGGGTTTATTTTTAGAATTCAGGTTTTGGTTTTATCAAGTCAACTGGTTCCTTAATATCTGCTTTTCTCTTTATTAATCTTCTGTATCTTGGGTTTGTTTTAACTTCTTTAAACAGAGCATATCTACACCCTAACAAGGGCACACAGGCTAAGAGTATTTAAAAACGTGTATGCTGGGGCGCCTGGGTGGCTCAGTCGTTAAGTGTCTGCCTTTGGCTCAGGTCATGATCCCAGGGTTCTGGGATGGAGCCCCCGCATCACATCGGGCTCCCTGCTCAGCGGCAAGCCTGCTTCTCCCTCTCCCACTCCCCCTGCTTGTGTTCCCTCTCGCTGTCTCTCAAATAAATAAAATCTTAAAAAAAAACAAAACAAAAAACGTGTACGCTGGGGTGCCTGGGTGACGCATTTGCTTAAGTGTCTGCCTTTGGCTCAGGGCATGATCCTGGGATTAAGCCCCGCGTTGGGCTCCTGCTTCCTTCTCTCTCTCTGCCTACCGATCCCCCTTCCTGTGCTCTGTGTCAAATAAATAAAATCTTTAAAAACAAAAAAACATGTACAGGGGTGCCTGGGTGGCTCAGTCGTTAAGCGTCTGCCTTCGGCTCAGGTCATGATCCTAGGGTCCTGGGATCGAGCCCCACATCGGGCTCCCTGCTCGGCGGGAAGCCTGCTTCTCCCTCTCCCACTGTGTCTGTCAAATAAATACATAAAATCTTTAAAAAAAAGAAAGCGTACGTTGGGGCGCCTCGCTGGCTCAGTCTGTAGAGCTTGCAACTCTTGATCTCAGGGTCCTGAGTTCAAGCCCCAGGCTGGGAGTTGAGCCTACTTAATAAAATAAATAAAAAACGTGTTTTTGGAGTAAATGTGTTGTAAAATTCTTGCATGTGTATCAAATGCTGTCTTTGATGAATTAAAAACGAGAATACACTAACATTTATGGCAGTACTTTACATTTTATCCGATTTAATCCTTAGAACAATCTGGGCTATTTCTATTGTTTTTTTTTTTTTTTTTAATCTGAGAGAGGGAGAGAGAGCACAGGCAGGGGGAGCAGGGGAGAAGCAGGCTCCCCACTGAGAGGAGCCAGATGTGGGACTTGATCCCAGGACCCTGGGATCATGACCTGAGCTGAAGGCTGATGCTTTACCGACTGAGCCACCCAGGCGCCCCTATTTCTGTTTTTATAGATGAAATCTAGGCTCAGCGTTTAAGACTTTCTCAAGGTCACCTACATGAAAGGTATAATTATAAACCACCATTAACACAGACTGTTAGACACGAAGGGAAGTGGGTTTCAAAAATATGGAAGGCTTGGGCGCCTGGGTGGCTCGGTTAGTTAAGTGACTGCCTTCGGCTCAGGTCATGATCCTGGAGTCCCGGGATCGAGTGCCGCATCGGGCTCCCTGCTCGGCGGGGAGTCTGCTTCTCCCTCTGACCTTCCCGCCTCTCATGTGCTCTCTCTCTCTCTCTCTCTCACTCTCAAATAAATGAATAAATAAAATCTTTAAAAAAAAAATGGAAGGCTTTTTGACACTAAAAGGTTGGGAACTCCTATGAGCTCTTTACACATGGGTCATTCAAAACACCGTTCACCCCAGGGTAGGAGAGGGCAACCAGTTATTCTAATTAGCTTAATGCATTGATTGTACTCAAAGGAACCACAGTTGAGTTGTGAAAGGAAGACAAGCCTCTGCGGTCCTACTAAACCTATAGCTAGCACAGAGTGCACTGGAAACAGGCGGAGCTTGTTTATGTGGGAGCACTTGCTACTGTATCTACCAAACTAGCGTACTTCAGAAACTGCACTTTGGCCTTATCTTTTCCTGATTTTTAGAGGAGGAGGAGGGTGGCCATCATCCAAATGAAAGTAAAATTCTCCCTTTCTTTCGAGCCCCACACTCCAGATTATACAGAGTAGAGCTACCACCGCAAGTTCCCCGCGTTACACAAGCCGTTTGAAGGGAGGTGCTCCCTAGTGCGCAAGCGCAAGCGCATAAACCGCTGTTCTACTGCGTTACCTCGTATCGCACTGCTTGCCCGTCACGGAGCTGAGACATAATCAAGTACCACAGAAATTCAAGGCACAAAATGACACTTAAACAAAGTAGGCGGAATTAGAATTCCCAGGCCCCTTTTTTTATTTGCAGTAATATCAAGCCATCCACTTACACATGTTCTGGTCTTCCATCACCTGGAATCAACTAGGTTTGTCTTTGGGATCATGTGTTTGTTGTTTGTGTCTACTTTGGTGGATACAAGAAAGGAACCAACCAACCACTGGAACAGAGGGTGCCGCTGTGCCCCAGCGGGAAGCCGGCAGGACCATCTGAGCGTGCCACACCTGAACACTTAGCGGAGGGAAGGAAGACAGCTGCTCTTCCTTTGTTTTCCAAGCAAATTCATTTGAAAGTGAACAAACCATCATCCTAAGTCAAATGTATTAATTACTTAGACCGTCAGTCTAAGAAATATTTTTCTTTTTCTAATACCTTACCCTGAAATAAATTTACCAATAAACCCTAAAGATTCAGTACAAATAGTACAATTCATATTTGATTTCCTCTTTCCTTTCTTCGAACACCAAATAAAATGCAGGTGAAAGAGATGAAACCCAACTGGAAGCTGACTTAGCAATTCATGCTAACCCTAACGAATCTAAAAAATTATGTTGGTTAATGTGAATCTCTTTACAAAGAGCACCTGGGTACGGCTTTTCAAATAAAGGATCAATCACATTGCCAGAAGGTCCCTGGGCAGAAAAAAAGATTGTTACGAATAATAACCTTTTCAAAACCCACAAGGCAGGCTGTTTGTCCTTTATTTAGCTGTAGTCATGGAGACCATCCCAATTTTCCATAAAATCTTCTCGATACTCCTGAAACACCATGGCATAAAAGATCCAAAGTGCCACTAGACGTAAGGACCAGAGTTTCTGATCATAAACCATGAGGCTAGGTAATGTTTAAATGGGAATATTTGATATGGATGGTCAGATGAAAGATACCAAAATGTCAGACAGCCCATCGACTGCTGTTGCCATGAGATTCAACAGTCAACATCAGTCTGATAAGCTACCCGACAAGGTGGTACAGCCATGGAGATGTTGCGACGGTAGGCAAAAGTAAGCAGACATTCAGGCAGGATTTTATAAAACAATCAGGCACTTCTGGCCTATTGAGATTTAAACCCAATTCTACTCTTAACATAACGTCAGAAACAATCTTCCTAAAGAAAAAAAGTGAAACTGTTTATTTTCCTCCCAAGCAAAACAAAATGACCAAGTTCAACCAGAAATATCTCGAAAGAAAATCACAAAAGGACATAACACTTACTGAAGAAGGCAAGAAAATTAGGTTACATTAAAAAGTAAATTTGTCAAAACCAGAGTACATGCTGAGTTAAAATTAACACAGATATAAGTGTAGTTTTTTAAAAAACAAACAAAATTAGTTATTTCTCTCTTCAGTGCCCTTTAATTTACATACTTTCATTTCTCCTGTTTTCACAAACCCCTCACCGTGCAAATCCGTAAGCTGCCAATTCAGCAACGTGTAGCAAGCTGCCCGATTCCAACCTAACAAAAAAGTGCCTTGGTGGTGGCTCTTACATGTAAATAAATGAAGGCTTAAGAAATGATGGTTGTAGGTGGATTTGGCAAGGCTGACCATAAGTTGGTAGTGGCTAAAATGAAGCAAAAATCAAAACGCTCAAGAAAACGGACACAATTTTGGAATGATCAAAGATGTCTTTATAAAGTTTGTTCATGACTTCATTCTAAATATACAGAATAAAAAATGGTGTCAGCTCATTCGTGAGATACCAACCAGAATTTTCTTATACTGTCTCAAAATTTAAAGATCAGTTTCCCCAGAGGGTGGGCAACGCATCATAAAATGGCCTTTTTTTTAAGGTAGGAGAGGAAGGGCTGGGCAGAATGGCATATTAAATTTTACCATGATACACATGCAAGACTGTTATCCAATCTAGTATAATTTATATACATTTTAATGACTTAGAAAAACAAAGGAGTCATTTCTGACAAGCCTAAATGACTTGACATATTCAACATACTTAGGAACTATTTTTTGGTATCTGGAATTCTTTAACTGTACCACGTGGGCCTTTTGAAAGTAACAAAGAAAAGGCCAGTTTCTGTTAAGTTTGCTGCTGAACATCACATTCCACCCTAATAAAACACAAGTTGGATTGAATTGAGGGTGGATACCTTACCTTAACACACAAAGGAAAAGTATGTCAGTGCAAAATATGGACTAAACTGCTTTCAGGGGGAAAAAAAATTAAATTGATACAGGTTGGAAAAGAATTTTCCTTCCTGGTTTGGAGTCCTCCCAATTTAAGGTAGAACCCATCCATTCTAACTTCTGCCATTAAAACCTTTTCCTGCTTATTTAGTTTTTTCCTCTGAGTTCAACCGCTGCTGCATTCGTTTGGCATAACTTTGTGCCATGGAGTTAATGATGGACAGGATGAAGTAACACACCATTACAACGACCAACTTCTCAAACATCCAGGACAACCAGTTTTCTCCCTGCAAGAATAAATGCAGAACAATCCAGGAGAAACGTTTCATTAGTTCAGTAGTAAAAAGGGAATCATCTACAATATTTAAGGAAAATGATGAGAACTTGGAGCTTATAACCTATAAAGTCGAGAAACAATTAAAATGAGAAGTCTTACATCTCCAGGTACCCTGAAGTCTACATTCAAGCCTTTTAACAGCCAATTGTTAAGATTTCACTTTGTTAGATGTAAAGTCAAGGTTGATTCACATAGTTTAGAATGGGCCAAGTGTGAGGTCGCCTCTTTTACTACATAAGAATAAAATTGATTAAATTCTACTGTCTGAAGTTGCCATGTAGATACTTGTACAGAGTAGTATCAAGATAGTTACATATTCTTGTTCCAGCATTGGGAGCAGCTTTTAAAATAGGTTATCTCTTCCTGAAGTCATGTTTGGTCAACTGAGGGCAGCAAAGGGCCACACAGAGTCTAAGGCCATCAAAACAACAACAACAACAACAAAAAACCAAACCAACAATTGGGGCACCTGTGTGGCTAGTTGGTTAGGTTAAGTGTCTTACTCTTGATTTCAGCTCAGGTCTTGATCTCAGGGTCGTGAGTTCAAGCCCCGCAATGGGCTCCACGCTAGGCGTGGAACCTATATTAAAAAAAAAAAAAAAAAAAAAAATCCAACAAGTACGCGTCCTTCAAGTTTCCCATTTCAGGTTCCTGCTTACTCATCCTCTTCTAGTCATTTCCCTTTGCCACAGAACTGTTTACAGAAAAGGCAGGCTTAGTTTAATAAGTTAAAGTTTTTAAGTTCAGCTATGTGAAGAGCCTTAGTTGATTAAAAAAAAATTATTTTCCCATCTCTGAAAAGAAAAATAGGGCAAAAATGAAGGGAGATACTCAAATGGGCTCAGTTAGTCTAATACTTTTTATGCTACAAAATGCTACAAATTTAAATTTTTTAATCCAGTTGGGAAGTATATTTGCTAATAAATCAATTAAGATCAGTCAACAACTCCTTCTACATAACAGATCCATTATTCTCCATTAACCCTACCTTTGGTTTTTGGGAGAAGATAGATACAAAATAGAAATTACATTTCTGATTTAGACAAAGACAATTCCCAGTAGAGAGTAAGTAGAGCCTCAACCTCAGTTAAGGGAGACTGACAAACCTCACTCCATTTGCCTAAAAATGCCAGTGAGTACTGTGAATGTAATTTCAGCCTGAAACCGTGGGGGTGGGGAAGAGAAGAAAACGGAGTCAAGTCTCACCTGTGGTGTGCCCATTTCACTTTTGTGGTGAAGCTTCTGCCGCTGGGCCTCCAGGTATTCCTGGAATGGCTTCTGCAGAGATGGACCTACGCCGGGGACAGCACTGGAAGCAGGGCACAATAACCCAAGGAAAAAGATACATTTGGGAAGAAAAGCAGGAAAAATGTTAAAGAAAAATCCACTTACCACCTAGATTCAAAAAGCAGGGACTGGACAGAAAGAGAACAAAAATACAACAATCAGCAGAGCTGGCAAATCCTCTGAACTTTTCTCAGTGGGTAAAATTCATCCTTTAACAACCCCTTAGAGGAGAAAAATCTCTTCCACCAACACGTCTGGGAGAAAGTAAGAGCTGAGCCCCTTCTAGCAGAAGAGTTCATTCTCAGAGTGAGGCCAGCTAAGCTGATGCTGCACACTGGTGTGGCACAAAGAATAAAATGAATGACTTCTGAGAAGTCCCACATTTATCACCACCAGTTCCTGTAAGAACTGGTTTGAACCGATTAATAAGGAAATGACTTATGCTTGTGTCATCCCCAGTTGAAAAAGAAACTGCCCGCCCTCTCTCTGACTTGTCCCATCTTCTCAGAGGGGGCGGTCCTTTCTCAATCTAAGTCCTTATTAGGACAATCTGTGCGTCATCCTTATCCAAAAAGAATGCATTAGCAAATTTGGGAGGCACCTCCCACTAGTCAGAAGTCAGTGATTAACAAAGGAACAAAGAAGGAACTATGAACCTTGAATCACTTCGTGGTTTATGGTAGATGGTTTGCACAGAAACTACAGTACATTACTAAACAACCTGCTCTGAAATGACTGGGGTAGTGATCTCTGATAAGTTTATGTACTCGGAGCTCCCTCTCACCCAGAGTACGTAAAGGCAGGGCTGTTGAACCGGTCTGGCAACCAGCGACCAGGATCCCGTTTTAGAAATGCTTGCAGGCGTTTTTTTAAAAATGGTAACTTGAGGCAACTCAGAAAATCAAACATCTCTATTTTCTGTACCTTTTATTTTCTCATCTGCCATAACAGGGCTAAAAGGTAGATGAGCCCAATCTCCTGCGGTCGGCAAAAGGTATGTCAATATGTATTTGAAACAGCACCTAATGGTCTCCCTTGTAAGTATTAACTTCACCTCCCCTTTTCTAGAACAATCAGTTACTGCTTTCTGTAATAAAAAGCAGAGGAGCAGAGGAAGAGAACTTTTCTGCTACTATATTTACCAGAAGCTAACACATAGGTAACTCCTGGCTGACCCTTTTCTTTGATCCTCTTAACTATCAACCACCAAATACTTAATGGAGTCCTTATTTTGTGTCTGACATTGTAATCGGCACTAAGGGAAAACAAAACAAGACAACTGCAAGAAATAGTTCATGCCCGCAAGGAACTTAAAATCTTGATGGAGATTCAAAACACACATGCAGATACATACAAATGGATTTGTGAACAAAAGAATTTACAAATCAGTACTAAATTTTTTTTTTGGGTACAGAAGATATATTCCAAAGGAACCGGACAAAGAAAGGAGTGATCAGTGTGCGGTGAAGCTGTACAAAAAGCTCCTTTAATAAACACCCAGGATACGGAAAAGAGGCTGAACAGACACAGGTAGTAGGGGCGATGGCTGCACTGATCAGACCAGAGACCCACATGACAGGCATGAAAGATGGAGGAGGGCAAGTCTCTTAACCTACAGCCTCAGTCTCTCTCTCTCACTGACTTTTAAGTGGCTTTCCATTACCTACCCATTCTGGGGTACACCAGAAGAGCTGCGTCTGAGCTATGTTCCTGTTTATCAATAATGATTCTGACTACAATGGGGCAAGAACAGGACAACCTTTCTCTTCATTTTTTTTAAAGTTTTTTTTTTTTTTAAAGATTTTATTTATCCAGGGGCG